GCTCAAGCAGGGAGTCAGACAGCAAAGGCAACTGTAGCTGTGAGCAATAGGTTTAAAATGGAAAAAAAGGCTTGCTTTTAAAGCAGCATTTACTTTTTGTGTCTGTGATATGACTAATCCCTCTCTTAAAATGATCATCCTACATGTTTAGCTACAATAAGTAGCTTTAACTTCAACTATATTGTGGCTAAACATGTGGGACAGTTTTCTTTATGTGTGCATCTGGGCCAAATGAAGAGATGGGAGCTGCGGATGGATTATGTATCTGTGTTTAGGCAGTTTTTAAATGCAGTTTTATGCACACAGAATGACTATTTGGAGAAAAAATACACTTAGTCTTCCCCGGCTTGGTTTGCTAGGGATCTTTTGGAGTGCAGGGGGTGATCCTAAACACCTTCTATGACTCTGTTGTGGCATCAGCCCTCTTCTATGGAGCTGTTTGCTGGAGCAGTGGCTTAACTGTAGCTGAGAGAAAGTGGCTGGATAAACTGATCAGGATGGCCAGCTCTGTGATTGGATGCTCTTTGGATTCAGTGCAGGAGGTGGGAAACAAAAAGATCCTAAAATTAACATCTCTGTTGGATAATGTTTCCCACCCCATGCATGAAGTTGTTGTAAAACTGTAGAGCTCCTTCAGTGACAAATTGCTGCACCCTAAATGCACCAGAGAGCGTTATCACAGATCCTTCCTCCCAGCAGCTGCAAGACTCTATACCCACTGTTCCCAACAACATCAATAAGTTGTTACATTCAGGCTGATTTTGATGATTAGATATTATGCTGCTGTCATTTTGCACATCTCTGATGTTGCTGCTATTTTCAAATATCCACTACTGTAAAAATGTCCATAGATGTATATTGGTTATTTATTCTCCAGGTGCACAGTATTTATATCACTATAACGCTTAACAGTACAGTATTTTATTGTTTATCTTTTAACTCTTCTCTATTATGTTATTCTTATACATTTTTTCTAAGGTCCACATTTGTACAGTATGACAATTTTTTCTAATATCTTTTTGCTGCTGTAAACACCAGAATTTCTCCCTTTATTATGGGACAATAAATTGATTTTCTGTTCTATTCTGCTATCAAGCAGCCTTCATGAGATGTTCAGGCAACCAGAGTATTTTCGTATCTATTTTCCAATGTCATGACAGTAAACTGTGGCTCAATCAAAAACAATACACTTTTGCACAAGACTGAAAAATGAAGCGAAATGACATCCAAAATATGATGAAAAAAAAAATTTGAATGATTATTATGAATGGAATTAACTAAAAAATATTATGAACATAAAAGCTTGCAAAAAAGATGGCAAAAAAGCCCATCAGCTGATTCAGGAATTTGGTGCCCCCTGAAAGACAATGATATTGCAGCAGTTTGTTAAGTGTCCTTGTCTCTACCACAGTCCCCAGAGGGTCCAGCTTCTTGCCAATCACAGAGCCGGCTCACCTCACCAGTTTGTCCAGTCTGGATGTGTCCTTCATGGATGTGCTGCTCCCCCAGCACACCACAGTGTAGAAGAGGATACTGGCAACCAACGACTGGTAGAACATCTAAAAGAAAGTACTTCCTGCTCGTGTCTTCCTGTGCAGGTCGTTGGTGTGTGTTGACAAGTCCAGTTTACTGCTGGAGTTTCTTTTTCTTAGTGTTGCATTGTAGTGACCAAATACCGATACCTGGCTGTGGAGTATTGGCCGATACCTTACCGATACCATCTGTTTGGAATTGATGTGTGTGCGTGTGTATATATGAAGAACTCCATACCACTTGGATGTAAAATAATTGCCATCAAGGCTTTGTCAAGCTGCTTGCCTAGCATTGGGAAGCAGGAAAAATACTAATACAAAGTGAATCCAGTAGAACTTTTTATTGCCTATCTGGAATGGGTGACAATAGTTGAATAAACTGTTGGCTCTCAAAATGGTATCGATACCCTATCTGTTGTTACATGGCAATACCAATGCCACCATTTTAGTGCTGGATCAGGGCTCTCCCCGATACTGGTATCAGTATCTGTGCAACACTGCTTTTTATATTTGAAATATATAGTGGAACATATTTCTTCTTCTTCTTGTGCCTCCCTCAGTCAAGGGCCCTTAGAATATTCCTAACCTTTCTTCCCCATACGGCACCACTGGTTAGGACATCAACAATACAATTTTTGTAGTTAATGCCCAGGGTAAGACATTTAAAGAACTTTCTAAGCCTTTTAAATCAGAAACCCCCCTTACCTTAAAGTAGGCTTTGTTAAATCAGCTGCCATCAGGTCCAAGTAACCTTAACCTGCAAGCTGACCTCGAGATAATAAAAGAGGCCTCCAAAAACCCTAGAAAGGGAACACATGCAGGACAGACAGCAAACTCTTACAGCTGTTGATTTTAAAGTGCCTACATTTCAAACAATGACGGACAGACTAGATGTTAGGGTTGTGGTGCCCTTAGCTGTAAACCACGGTGATTTTATTTTTGTCTAACAAGAAAAAATATATATATTTCTGATGTTTTAAATCATATATAAATATTTAATTAAAATATGTTAACATTCATTTTAAAAGAGGATTTCACACAAACCTTATAGATTAGATGGAATTATATACAACATACTGTCTGTCAGTTACAAATACTTAGTTTCATATGAGGGTAGAGATATATTCAGTAAGTTTCAACCATTCACATCAGACTGTGGGATAATTAGATAGAATAGGGATTCATTTATATGATTATTGGCAGGTTTATTCACACATTAACTACTTGTTTTAAGTACATTCATATCATTCAGATTATTTTCACATCTATAGTTTTTACACTTCATACAATTTTCTTTATTTTTCACATACCCGGTAATTGTAAACAATTATCTGTGTTAAATGATGTTTGTTTTTTTAATTCATGAAAAGATCTTGCCTACCTAACTATTGCCGTAGGTACTGAACTGATAAAGCGATATAAGTGTAATAACCATACTGATAATGGTCACGGCTGAAATTATTCTCTGGTGCTGGTATCAGAACATCTTTCTAATGATCCTTTATCATCTTGGCATAAAGAAGCATATGATAATGAGGTTCTTCTTTTTTTGTTTAAAGGATAAAAATGGAGCATAGAACACTATAGACCTATAAAATTGGAACGCTATGCCTAATTTGATAACAGAATTAAGCGAAAGAGAATAGAAGTGGTCGATAACAGTAGTATCAGTCAGGATTTAGTAAAGGACTGTTAGCTAAAAGATACTAAATCTACTAGGAGGAAGGGGATGTATGACCTGTGACCACCTAAATACAAAAGGATCCAGGGTGTCTCAGTAAAATCCTGGCCTTAGCGTTGCCCTCTCTCCCCTAACCCACCTTTAATTTATAAGGCTTCTTGTTGCAACATGTGTTCCAGTAATAAACGACTTCTTTCTTTACTCCATAGTCCACTTCTTGCAGTCATTATTGGCACTTTCAGAAGTGGATGGGTACGAACGTGGACTCCCTGAAACTGCACGGTCTATCTGAAACAATGATATCTTCTTGGATCAAACCACAGTGTCCAGCTTTCACACTTCTTCTGCACCACTGTTCCATCCTCCCCCCTTGAGCATTTCTTTATTAAGATATTTTCATTTCTAGCAAAGATCACATTTACATTGAAACACTCAACTATTCTTGCCTTCCTTCTCTAAGCTTCAGCTTTACATTATAGTTAGTCTATCTCTTCGTTTTGAATTCCGACCGCGGGATGACACAACCTCCAGCGGAACAAGCGCAGCAGGTCAGATTCTAACTTCCTGTTCCACTGGTTTTCTTACTACCTGAAAACAAGTCAGGATTTTTTTTTAAGTTGAAAAATGTAAGACCCTTATTGGTTTACTGAAACCAAAATAAGAAAAATTGTTCTTATTACTTACAGCATATTACTATACAAACAGCCATATCATATAAAGACTTTGCTAATTAAACTTCAATTTTTCAAGTGTAAAAATCAAACTAAAGGTCAGAAATTCTCCTCTATCCATCCATCCATCATGCTTCATCCTGTGACAAAGCAGGGCAGGGCAACGCGGAGACAAGCAGGACAGAAATGATCATATACTAAAATGTAACCCTTTGTTCGCTTCATGCTTAAATGATCCTTATACACCCTGTTACCGCTTAACCGCTGATCTTGGACCATTTTTAGTAGGCCTTCCTACCAATGTGGACCAGATACATTACAGTAAAGCAATAGCTACGGTTATGTTTGAATTAAGTCTTATAGCCAGAAATATCTTGCTGTTGTCACACCCTCTTTCTCAAATCCCCAGACTTTTTGAATATTTCTGCTTCTAACAATCTGCAGGGAAATATGTTAACTTAGCAAATATTTCCAAACTGCACTGACCAATACCACGATGAGTATATGTTATGTTTAGACCGGCACACAGATAAAAAGAAACATATCATTGATACCTTGATTCATTTAAACAATCCTGATACATCACAGAGTAAATAATGAATTAAATTATCTTTTTTTTTTTAAATGTCCTCCTGACGAATATCAGTTGCATTCAGAACTTTGTAAACAGCTTAATTTCCCTAATTTCTTGTCTTTATCTTTTTGACTCAATGAAAAAAATACTAACACATGTAAAGAGTTACCTCCATTCATTTGTTGCTGCTTAAATATGTAACCAATCCAAACTATATAAATAAATAACCATTAACAATTTAAATAAAGTTTTTCTCCCTTTCATTTTGCAGTTAATAAGATGCATCTTTCATTTTTAGCAGGCTAAGAGGTTAGATGTTTAATTACACAGCAGTGGGGGAAAAAAACTGTAGTCACCCACAATTAACTTTTCTTTCCTTTAGTTATGACAAACGGCATCTGATTGGCTGCCAGCTGAGGAGCTGTGCTGCGACTGGCTGAGAGCGGAGGAGCTGTGTTGCGATTGGTTGCTTCTTGTTTCCGTGGCTGGGATGTGAAGTCCCTGACGTTTGTCGGTCTGCTCTGAGACAGACTGGGGGGAGAATGGCTGCCAGTGGAGGTTAGCAAAGTCTTTATTGTTTTCTTCTCTAACCACATTAGAATGGTGCTTTTTAAAAGTTAAAGCATGTATGTTTAACAGCTTACGGAGTAGGACCCGTTGTGCAATTGATAGGTCGTGACATGTTGCGTGCTCGTTAGCGGAAGTCACGCTTCTTTAGGATACTCTTTAATAGTTGTTTGTCGTTTGCTACGTTGCTAACGTTAGCCGTGTGGCTAACTTTCGGCCGCCGGTTAGCTCGCTACCCACAGCTGATTGTGTAAACACTTGTTTGTGACTACAGACAGACATTAGTCAGGCTCCATTCGTCAATTTTAACATCAATTTCATTCGGTTTGCATCTTTTGATGCAGTTTTATACATTTTATGGTACATATATAGTTAGCAAATATACTTTTTGCCCCTCATAGCTCGCAATTTTGTGTCAAAGAATGCTTGCTAGCATTAGCTTTCTGCATACGTGTTGCTAAAAGTTAAACTCGCACGTCCAGCAGTTTAATTCGCAGATTAACCGGTATTTTATGTTGAAAACAAAGCGCTTCCTCTTGCCGTTTTTATATATTTCACCGTCTTAGATGTTGTCTCTACTCTTTGGAGGGAATAAAATAGCCCGAGCAGACGTCGGGCATTCAAGATGCTAACAAGTTAGCTACCACCTGGCGAGACAGTAGTTTCTATTCATCCACTGCCAGCCTTTTGTCCTGTCAAGGAGTTGGTGTTGCTCAACACGAGGTTTGTGGTGGAAAAAGTGTTTCTCTAAGTCTCGCTGAGTTGGCAAAGCCCTGGTAGCCGTCTGAGCCTCTCACACAGCCCTTACACATGTAATAATAGACATGTTGTAATTTGAAGTTTCTATTTTAGGGTAACACCACAAAATTACCTTGTTATGAGCTCATATTTCAACAACATGTCCTGATTTGGTTCTTGTTCCAAAGTTAGAAATAAACCTGAAACTTGCTTTGATTCTTCACCAATTAACTTTTAGTCCATTGACATTAAAGCCTTTTTAATTTAATAGTAACATTTACTTTAGGATTGAGTTCTAAAATTAAAGATGAAACCCAGAAACATGTTTTTAACGTTGAAAATATTCAGCTTTAAGAATTCCTTCCAATTAGAGCTGGGCGATATGAAGAAAACCTAATATTGTATATTTGGGCTAAATTCGCGATACACTTTGTTTATATATCATGAAGTGTTTAAATTACATTAAAAACAATAGACTGCATAAAATTTTATACTCATTGAAACTGACATGCAAATATTTTGGTTTCAGTTTTAAAATAATTAATTCTAACCAGCTCGAAGTGGGGTGTCATTATTATATGTTCACAGCGCACGTAATCTCAGCAGCAAAAAAGCACCTGCTGCTTCATTTTTGATGCTTGTACACATTAAGGTCAGAAGCACCTGAAGAGCATTTTTGATGCTCCTTAAGGGCATCCAGTAAAGTGTGTGCAGATGTGTCAAGATGCTGCAGGACCTTTTCATGTGTCAATCATCTATTTTATTTATTTTTTTGTCTGATTTGACAGAAAATCATGTCGGACAAGTCGTGGAGTTTAGCGCTCATTGAAAGACAATGGGGATGATCACACCCGATGTGATTTTATGCAACAGGGCTTGTGTAGCTCCCACTGAGATTGACCCCCAGGTCTATCTTATTTGGAAGAGAGACTCGGTTACAAAGTGAGACACGTCCACTTTGGAGGGAAAATACGAAATAAAATCTGTTAATTACATTGGAAAAAGAGTCAGTTTTGGGAGTCGCACATCGTGTATATCACAAGTGGGACAGACTCATGCAAAAACAATGAATGAAAGAAGGAAAAAAAAATACTTTACCCACGATAGGAGTTCAGGAGGACAGAAAACAGATAAAGTAGTGGGGGGCAGAAAGCACAGTTTATCAAACTTCTCAGGTGGGGGAAAAAAAACTTAGGCTTAGAAAAAAACGGAATAGTAAAGTAGTGATCCTCTTTGAGCCTCACAAAAAATGAGGGGCCGACAGAGCAGGTTAGCACGGAGCATCTCTCACCTCTTTATGGAGAAAAAAAAGGACAGAAAAATGTATAAACTTCACAGATCTCTCTCTAAGAATCAGCTTTCACTGCCTCGGTCAGCATATAACCTGATCCATAGCATTTATTGCTGTGATTTTCTTTTCTTTAGACATAGGTCTCATGTTTAATATTGGCATATGAACATTATCTAATCTGGCTGAGATACTTCAGACTCTCTTTGCTTTATAGAATGTGCCTGTTTTTTTTATTATTTTCTTTTTTCATAATTTATCCAAGTCAAATATGGAAAATTGTTTTGATTTATGTATAGCACAGAGACAGAAGTGAAAAAAATCTGAGCAGATCTGCCCACCCTGCCTAGTCGGTGCCTCTCTATATGCAGTCAGTGTGACATGGAGAAATATCGGATCAGAGATAGAAAATTCGTACCCAAACAGTGTGTTCTGTGCTTAACTCAGCTGCTTCTGCTGCCCAAAGCGTGTTGGCTGTGAACGTAGCATTAGTTATTTAACAAGATCCCAGCAACTAATCGGGAAACAAAGCAAAAACACACAATACTAAATAGAAAGTAAATTAAAAAGGGCTCTTTGATGCATTGACCTTAAATTAAAAAAACAAAGTACTGTCCAAAAATTAGAGCATTATCTGAGCATCTCAAAACTATTTAATTGATTTTTATGTCCTGGGAATTTTAAAGAAGCATAAATTTGGTAAATTTCAGAAAACTGTCCAGTTTAGAAAATGGCTGCATAACCTAAGAACAAGACCACATCTAATCACAGGTATTGGGGCATCAAAAAAACCTTCCAGTAACGATTGCTCTTTGTGTTTGATTGGAAACACCAAACAGTGTGGTGCAATGTAAAGTCAGGGAAAGATACGGCTCATAGGTGCGGCTTGCCAACAGATCCGTAGTTATTGAGGAGGTCACGTTGGTCAGCTCCTGGGATATATTTCCTCCTATTGAAAGATACAGTTCTGGTAATGCATATTCTTGGAAAAAATTGCGACTGGGCCTGTCGTATTTGGGATCACGTGTCATTATTAGGTTTTTGAATCTGTTTTTTCCACAACACCGACAGGATCCATGTCTTTGGTGATATATTGTTACTACATCTGGGATTTCCCTCCATCTATACCTTTTTTTTGTTGTGAAGTCAAGTTTAACCTGTGCTTTTATTGTGAAATAGAATTGGATTGTTAGGGGTAATGGAAAGTCTGGAAGGCTGGTGAGTTACTAAATATTAAACAATAGTTCCAGCCACTAAATAAGGTACTCACTTGTTTAAATTGATGAAATACAATTTAATAAAACATGCATCTTTAATTTCCACACTTTTCGACTATCTTCATTTGTATCAAACCAGAAATTTTTCTTAATGTCTAAACCTTCATTTCTTATTAACAGAAACTGTTAGATACTTATTTTAGCTATCATGTTGATTTTCCTAACGGGTAGAGGAGAAACATATGTTGTTCAGTTTCTCTATATATTTGGACATGAATCCGATCACTCCCAGAACTTAAGATCGATCTTTGGAACATGCAAAAAGAAAAAATCTTAAGTATTAAAAACAATAACTTTTAAAATCTTTGGTATACTTTGATATGTATGATACATCAACGGAAACATAAATGCTCAAACATACGGTGTAACATTTTTAAGCGTTAGATGTGCTTTTGTTGAACAGAAATCACTTATGGTAAGGCTGAGGTATTTTAACAAATTAGACTATTTCTGGACATGTAAATTCATTAAGCTTCTGTTTTAGGGTCATACATTGAATTCAGCTGTAATGCTTCACAAGGATTTTCTCTTTAAAATATGACCTAACTGGATGAGGTGGAGAAAAGAGATGATTATCAGCCTGTATTTCTTTTTTTCTTCTCAGAGGGTATTGATTTGTTGAGTGGCAGCTTCAAGCCCTTCATCTCTCATCTGGAAACCTAACCTAAAAAGGTTAAGTTCCCAACATAGTTTATCATGGTAAATCAGTTTTTTTGGGATTTATTTTTTTTTGCGCCACTGGAAATTCTAAACCCAGGCGGAAGTTATATTTGGCTAATATTAGCGTTTTTGTTTTTTTTTCTTGCATCAGCTGATATGTGCATTAATTCACCGATTCATTAGTGCATTCAGCAGAAATGTCTCAAAATCACAAGAACAGCAATCTTTACCAATCTTTTGCAAAATCGATGTCTAGGGAATGAGATTGAATAGTTTTATAGTGACGCGCGTGATGTTCACATTCAAATGAGCAGGAAAGTTGCACTCAAGATTGCTTAAAGCCAGACAGTTAATGCAGCTCATGCATGTCTGCTGTGTCAAGCTTGCTCGAGTGAGGCTTCACTTTTTCACTTTTCACAAACAAGTTTGCACTTATGAGACAGTTTTGTTCACATCGCAAGTTTAAACTGTCTGATTTAGAAGTTTGCACTTTGTGTTTAATGTGACAGGAAAAAATAAAATACATGAGTATTTTGAAACAGTTGAACCACTTTTATTATTGTAAAAACTAATCGAATCCAAATTAATCGATTTAGAACTGTATGAATCAAAATTGAATCGATTCAGGACTTTGGCGAAAATACCCAGCCCTACTGCACATACACTACAGCAACTGGAAAACGAAATATGACGACAGATCTGAGCAAGTGAATGAAGGAGGAGTCAGAAAAGCTGTTTCCAAAGAGAAACAACACTGGACCAATAATATGGCGGCGGTTTAGATTTCACGCCGATGACGTCGGACAAAAGGCGGTCATTTGTAAGATATGCCCCAAAACCATTGCAGCAAAAGGCAGCAGTACCTAAACAAGTCATCCACTGCAAAATGAAGAATGTTGTAAAATCCGCATGTCAGCGTCTCCCTGCACACTAATTAAAACGTTAAATCAGCTGTAAAGCAGATGACGGCCTCGTCCTTTGAGAAGCATATATATATATGTATTTATACATGATTCTACCCAAGTATGTGGTGTTTCGATCAAACACATAAAGAGCAATTGTTGTTTAAATGTGCTTTAGATGCTCTTAATACCTGTGATGTGGTCTTGTTCAGAGATTTTTGCACATTTTCTAATCTTGGCAATGTTCTCAATTTTACAACTTTTTGTGCTCCTTTAAAATCCCCATCATTTAAAGATCAATGGAAATAGTTTGGAGATGCTCTGATAATGCTCTAATTTTTGGACAGTATTTTGACTTTTGTTTTCTTTTGTAATTTGAGTTAAAATTTTTTCAATCTGCATTTTTTTTTGTTATGCACAAAGGAGCCATTTTTATATTTTACATTTTATTTAGTATATTGCTTATTTTAGCATTGTTTCCTGTTTGGTTACTGGGATCTTGTTAAATACTAACTAGGTCTAATACTAACGAAAAAAACATAATGTGGCAGTATTATTTGTGGAAAGATTTGAGCTGGTAAAAATAATGTCTTAAATTTGAAACCAAAATATTCGATATGTCAGTTTGAATGAGTTTATCAGTGCAATTTAATGCACTCTATTGTTTCTGAAGGTAATTTAAACATATCGTGATGTATATCGTTTATTGTGATTAAAGCCAAATATATCATGGTATTACATTTTCCTGGTATCGCTCAGCCCTGATGCAAACCCCCTGATATGTTATGATGGTGGTTGTTATTTGTGAAGATGAATTAATTTTTGCTTTTTGTGTCATTATTCAGAGGTAGGCAAGCTGTTACAAGTACAAAATGGGACGCCTCCATCCACCAACTACAACGGGGTAGATGCTGTGCACGCCTGCAACATCCTTCAACAGCTCAAAGCCCTGTACGATGAAGCACAACTGACAGATATTGTCGTAGAAGTTGACCACGGCAAGACTTTCTCCTGCCACCGGAATGTTCTTGCAGCCATCAGTCCATACTTTAGGTACAAAAAATTTGAACGCATATATTAGTTTGCCGTCTTTCACTGCCTACCAAACCTCACTGTCATAAGGAAGAATTATCTCTTTCGTGTTTCTTGTCACCCTTAGGTCCATGTTCACCAGCGGCCTTACGGAGAGCAGCCAGCGTGAGGTCAGAATTGTGGGTGTGGAGTCCGAATCCATGCACCTCGTCCTTGACTATGCCTACACCTCCAGAGTCGTGCTCTCAGAGTCCAACGTTCAGGCCCTTTTCACTGCAGCCAGCATTTTCCAGATTCCTGCTCTGCAGGATCAGTGTGCCCAATTTATGATCAGCCGTCTTGACCCTCAAAACTGTATAGGGGTCTTCATGTTCGCAGATGCATATGGACATCAGGAGTTGAGGGAACGGTCACAGGATTACATCAGGAAGAAGGTCAGTTAAACATTTTAGGATAATTTAAATGCTTTATTCTACTAAAACTCTCCTTTTCAGTCAATGTTTTCATATGCAAGCTTAAACGTTTGCTTCTTTTTTGGTAGTTTCTGTGTGTTTCACTGGAGCAAGAATTTCTCCAGATGACCAAGGAGCAGCTGGTCAGCATTTTAAACAGTGATGACCTAAACGTGGAGAAGGAAGAACATGTCTACGAGAGCATCGTCCGCTGGCTCGAGCACGATCGACCTGGCCGCGAAGCCAATCTTGCAGAGGTTTTTTCTCAGTGCATTCGTCTGCCCTTGCTGGATGAGGCCTTTCTCAGTCGGATACCGGCCCCCTTTGCCGGCGCCCTGTCACTGTCCGAAGACCCAGTCGAGGTGAAAGCTCGTCTCAGCGGCACAAATGGTTGTTCACAGCGTCTGGGCATGACTGCGTCTGAGATGGTGATCTGCTTCGACGCAGCTCATAAACACTCAGGTAAGAAGCAGACGGTGCCTTGCCTGGACACAGCCGCTGGGAGGGTGTTCAAGCTCTGCAAGCCACCTAACGACCTCAGAGAGGTTGGCATCTTGGTGTCACCAGAGAACGACATCTACATTGCCGGCGGCTATCGACCAAGCAACAGTGAGGTTTGCATTGACCATCGAGCAGAGAGTGACTTCTGGCAATATGAGCATGCAGGAAACCGATGGCTTCCACGAGCGCCTCTGCTGAGGGCGAGGATAGGATGCAGACTGGTGCACTGTTGTGGGAAACTTTATGCCCTGGGAGGCAGAGTTTATGAAGGGGATGGACGAAATGCCTTGAAATCCGTAGAGTGCTATGATGCCAGAGACAACTGTTGGACGGCGGTCAGTCCTATGCCAGTTGCCATGGAGTTTCACAGTGCTGTAGAATATAAAGACCGGATCTATGTCCTCCAAGGTGAGTTTATAATGAAGAAATGTTCTAAAATGGTCATGCTCATCGCTTTAAAAAAACATTTCTCTTTTACAGGTGAATATTTCTTCTGCTATGATCCCCGTAAAGACTATTGGAGTCATCTAGCTCCAATGAGCGTCCCTCGGAGTCAGGGTCTGGCTGCCTTGTATAAGAACTGCATCTACTACATCGCTGGAATCTGCAGGAACCACCAACGCACCTTTACAGTGGAGCTCTATGACATAGAGAGTAACACATGGAGCCGAAAGAGAGAGCTGCCCTTTGACCAAGCTACAAGCCCATATATAAAGGCCATGTTGCTGCAGGGAAAGCTGCACCTGTTTGTTCGTGCCACGCAAGTCATGGTAGAGGAGCACGTGTTTCGCACCAGCCGCAAGAACTCCCTTTACCAGTACGACGACGAGGCAGATGCATGGACCAAAGTCTATGAGACCCCCGATCGTCTTTGGGATTTGGGTCGCCATTTTGAGTGTGTGGTGGCCAAACTTTACCCACAGTGTCTACAGAAAGTGCTTTGAGTTAAACCCTGTTTTATCAGGGGGGGTGGGGGTGCTGTTGGTCCTGCCTGCCTTGTGCCTGGTGTTATCTTGGCTTTTACACCAGCTGGACCATTTTTCTTTTCTGTTGAGTCTTAATTGGTTAAACTTTAGTTCAAGATGATCAAAAGTGGGGGTGCTTTTAAAGATTGCAGTATTTGCTTTTGTTCCTTTTATAGACGGCACCAACTACACACTGAAGCATGCTTAACAAAACCCTGCAACAAATCATAAGTGCAATTATCCTTTTTTCGCTTGCTGTTGAGCCATGTTTTTCTTTTGTTGTTTGAACTGTATAAAAGGTGATTTTATTTTCTCTTGAAGTTTGGCATGCTATTGAGGGTGTCCGTAAGATAAAATGCCTTCTAGATATAAGGATGCTATGTGTCACCATAAAGTAAAAATCTCTCTCTCTCTATATATATATAAATAGCTATATAAACTTTTCATACGGGTAAGGTGAGTACCATAGCTCAGTAGTTTGCTAACATTAAGTTTTTCCTTTACTTTTAATTTTTATTCTCTGTCCAGGCATCTCTTCTGCTCATTAGTTTTATTGTAATATGTGCTTGTGATTTACATTCTTGGTGTGTTTAAACCCGAAAGTGTGCCTGATAGTTTTAGGCATGGGCCGGTATCATAACCTCGAGTCGGTATTGTCTTCAAACTTTAAGCAAATTCTTTCAGACCCGCCTTTTTAAAATGAACTGTTATTGCTGCTGCAATTCAAGTTGCCATTACATTAATAGCGATATCTAGACCACGTTAACCAGATTTGACAGAATTACACACAAATATATACTGCCATCTGTAATATCAGTTAACAAGATATTTTGGCACAGAATATCAGACCTCTATATAGTTATATAATTATACCAAATGTCTGTTAGCAGGTTAATTATTCAGGTTGAGTTTTGGCGGAACCTTAATTCATCTGGTATATACCAATGACTCTAATGGCTTTAAATGAGCCTTATAAAACATTACACACCAGCTCATGTTGCAGCTTCCAGTGGTGCTTTTCGAATCTTTGTTTTAGTCCGAAGCATCGACAGGTGTCGTTTAATGCACATAATGCAAAGTACAGTTTTCAGATGGATTCATTTGGTTAGCAATAGGAAAATTAGCAATGTTTTAGCCAGTTGAAATGCGGTCCACAGCTTCAGCTAGGGGAAGAGTGGTGCCGCTGCATTGCTCTTTGCTACATGCAGCTGTATAAAGCAGCCACTTTCTCACACTAAAGGACTTGAGCCGGTAGGCAAGGCATAATAAACAATGGATCCTATAAGCCGTTTAAAGCCTTGGTATACCAGTGACCGGCCCATGCCTAGAACGTTTCACCCCCCTTCACAAGCATCAGCAGATAAAAACAACCTTTGCAACAAGAAATGGCTTCTTTTTTTTGGGATACCAATTGAATGCAGCTCACACTTCCCACTTCTTTGAGTTGGCATCCGTTGTGTGTCTTATGCAAAGATATTTTAAGTAAAGTCTTAGAGTATTCACTCTCCACATTGGAGATATAAGGACGGAGTCAAATTTTGTGCTAACACTAAGTGGCAAGTTCGTACCAACTAACAGATTTACCTCAGATTTATTTGAACCTGGAGAAAAGGGATGTTTTCAGGCTTTTTGTTTTTCTACGGAGCAGCTGTGTGAAAAGTTCAATTTGGCATTTGGATGTTAGATTGGCTTTGGCCTCATGTTATTATAATCTTATAGAACGTTGGAGAAAAAAAAATGCCATAAAAAGCTTTTGAGGTCTCGTCATAGTCGTTGTGGACATTGAAACTAATTTTGTGGTAGCAATAAATCAAGGAACTGTGATTAGGCTTTATTATCTTGTATTACCTTTAGTGCATTAATGTTTTTGTTTGCTTGTCTCGACTTGTGGGGAAAAATGGTAGTTCTAGTACCAGTAACTGTTTGGCTGTCGCATGGATGCAGAATTGAACCGATGTGTAATTTGGTGCACATTATGTGTGATGCCAATGTGCCTGTGGCTAAAAGAAAAGGGGAGCATCAGAATCAAAACCCACATCTCCAAAATGAAGAATATTCGAAATGCTAGCCCAGCATTGCACTGAATTACTATTCCCTTCGGTTGTCCTTAACTGCAAACTTTACGAAGTACCCTCTCAAACAAGACCCCACGCAAGGGTCTGGAGTTTGTGCCGTTTCATTTAAAGGCCATGAATCCGTCTTTTCACGCCATCGCTCGGCCACAAACTGTTGGTGCTGCTTTCTTTTGACAATCTTGTGTAAAAAGGAAACCACAATCGACTGGTCCTCCCTGTCAAAGTATGATTTCCAGTGCTTGGCGTTTCTCATGCAGGTTTTGTTTTTTTTTTTCTTTTTTTTGTCATCTTTGCACTGCACGTCTTTGGCATAACCACAGAGAGTGCCCCTCTATTTTATAAAAGGTTTCAGCAAATGTAAAGATATATAGCAATCAATAAGGTTTACATGGGAATAAATCTTTAATGAGTCACATTCAGCAAGGACTTGAGGATATATTAACTTCTCTGAGAGAAGACCCACTCTGAAAGACTTAAAGCTGATTTTAATCACCCGGCTTGAACAATAACCTCCTTTAGATACTCCTCACACTCCTGTGGTCTGAGCATCACCAACACAGCTCCTTAACGGCCATTTGAGAACCAGGAACGGAGAACTCTCAGGATTTCTACTGATAACACAGTACTGTATTTAATTTTGTTTTTGTGATGTGTAATATACTGTACTATAGGTTTGCTGTACTTGCACAGTTTTCTAAACTTATATTCAATTTCTTTTATAACTTGAAAAAAAATAGATGTGATTTTCTTTTTTTCTTGTCTCAAGTGGCTGTTTTTTTCCCCTTGTGATTTATATAATTTGTTATTGTAGTGTAATCCTCTAATGAGAAAAAAAAGTTTTCTGCACGAGTTTAAGTTAGATTTATGTTGTTTTTTTCCCCCCCTTGTAGTGCATTAGTTTTGTAACATCTCACTATGTGTAATGATCATTTAAAACACCAGTCATGCCACACAACAAGCTAACACAAACTGCTTCCTGTGTTGTTTTCTGTCATAAACAGCTTAGATCAGCTAAATATTTTGTTCATTGGTGCTATTCCATTGTTTCATGTTCTTTTTGTTTTTAAAAGGCTTTTCTCGTTTTCAGGTGGTTGAGCTCAACTGTGAACTTCACATTGCACATAATTGAAAATAAAAAAAAATAAAAAACAACGATTGGAGTTTACTTTTTCTTTCTCTATTTTTTTTTTTAGTTGCATGTGAGAAATGACATATTTCAAAGGGACTGTGTGCCATAGATCTATGACAAACGGATAATGGCAGGAGGAGATCTGGAAAGAAAAAACGATGCAACATGTGACCCAGGCGTCCATTGATCAAGGCTGCTGTTCAAACCTCGCTGCTTCTTTCTTCCTGGCTCTCAGTCTCCAAACGCGCTGGCTGTAAGATCAGGTAAGATATTTGCTGTGGGAGCTGATCCACGCGTCGTTTTCAGGGTTTCTATTTTTAACCCACGCGGGGACACAAGCCCCACGCCGCGTGTTTCTGAAGAAGCTAAAAAGCTGTTGAAAGTTGAGCGAGCGGCTCACAGCTGCTAGTCTATCTGGGAATAAAACACAGACTCTACCATAGAAGTAGCTTTAAACTTAGTAGTAGTTTAGTATTTGGCGTAAAGATGACGTAATAACCGACGTTTCTGTTTGGCTGCGAACAAAAGGAGGGAATGGAGACGTTTTCAGCTTTTACATCGGCGCTGATAATAGTTCATGCGGCGCGTCGACCCTATTGTGTTATGTTACTTTTGATGAGAAAATCAAAGTAGGACCCTATATAAAAAAGTTAGTTTCTACAGTGATCCCATCCTAAGTAAAAACCAAGCGCAGTGGTTAGGCTTCATAATTCACCAAATTAGTAAATAGAGTCTACCCTTGTTTAATTAAATTGGAAGAAATGCAGCTGTTTGTAAATGCCCGGTAAGTACGGAAGAGGATTAGGGCCACTTGGAAAAAAAAAAAAATAAAGTTGACTGATTTTTTACATTTTATTTCAGTTTAATATGGGGAAAAACTCAGAATGTTGACTTTATTCTCATAATTCTGACTGTAATCTCAGAATGCTGACTCAGAATGTTGACTTTAATCTCAGAATTCAGTAATTTTTTTCAATTTCAGAATTTTGGACCTTAATGTAGATGGATTTAATATGGGAAAAGTTCAACATTTTGACTTTTTTCTCAGAATTCTGACTTTTTTTCTCATATATTAAAATAAACTTTTAAAATCAACATTTTTCTTTTTTCAGTGGCCCTCATCCTCTTCCGTATATTAGGAAACATATTTTATTAATTTTTATTTGTCAAACAAAAAGGCCCTTTACAAGAATTTCTTGTAAAGGGCCTTTTTGTTTGACAAATAGAAATTAAAGGCACAACTCAAAACATTAAAAAAAGGATCATATTTATAACTCCAGTTACATGGACAGATTAAAATTTAAATGTAAATACTGCATTTTTTTATGTTACAGAATATTGTGCTGAAGCTCAGCCTATAAAAAGTAAGATGTCTTTCTTTCAACTTTACCAATCAGTTACATCACAGGGGCTAACAGCTTAAGGTGGGGTTAAGTTCTAAAACCAAATATCCCCAACATTGGAAATCTGACAGAGCATACTTTAATTTATCATCTCAAATAGAACTGGGAAGGATAATACATGGACTTTTACTCAAACAGATGGGTTGAGTGACCGTAGCTCCAACCAGAGAAGCAGTCAAAATATCCATAGTACCTGGAGGAGCTGCAGAGATCCACAGCTCATGTGGGAGGACCTTTGAACAGGATAACTATAGGCCACGCCTTCAACAGCCTCTGGAATGGCAAGAGGAAATCAATGTCCTCCTCAAAGCCTGCTAGAAGCCGCGTTGGTGCTAGGTCATATCTGAAATGCATCTTTTCTATCGAAAATCAGCAACGTTGGTGCTTACTTGCAAAATTTATTATTTCGATAAACGTGTTATTTTCCATTAAAATTCTCAAAATGACCAAACATTTGGTTGTTTAGGTCCACAACATCCCAGTGTCCTATTATGGGGACATTTCTTGACCTGTTTAGCGCTTAATAACAAATGTTCTTTCTTTGTCAACTAATTGACTTTTTCCACTTTGCACAGAACGATGCCGGCCGCACTTGCAGATGTTTTGAGTCCCAAACCCCTGGATGGGGGTTGGGGCTGGATGGTGGTGATTGGTGCCCATATCTCTATTGGATTTGCATATTCGACTCCCAAAGCCTTGTCAATTTTCTTCAAGGATATCCAAGAAGACCTGGGTGCCAGTTACAGTGAAATAGCATGGATTTCCTCCATCATGCTGGCTGTAATGTATGCAGGCGGTGAGTTCTTACTATATTTACTTGTTAAATAGTAAAATAATAACAGCTATCAGGATCTTCTCCTGTCATTCAACAAGTTGAATGAACCTAATAACATAACCTGTGTTATATTTATTACTGTAGGTTTATTTTCACTGAGGTGAGATAGGGCTATAGGTTTTGAAGTTGACAGTTTAGCAAAGTTATATTATGCATACAACTATAATGCTGCTGATTTATGATGTTTGATTGGTAAGTATGCAGAGGTTTATGCAAAATATATATTTTTAAGAGATATGATGTAAACTATGATGTCTAAAAAAATTTTATGTTTATCAGTAAAGGAACATTATCTTGTACAAACAACGGCCAATATAATGGTGCAAAAGTACGCTTATTATCAGGTTACATTCACTTATAGAGCCGCATCGTCTGCAAACTATAAATGCAATTAACATAAGCAAAATGCTTCACAGGTTCTGTAGAAACACTTTTAATTAGGTTTCTTTTTTAAAAGCAAAATAGTTTTATTTGGTTAAAGTCAATATTTTGTGGACTAACCAGGTTTTTCTTTATTACCTGTAAGTGATACTGTAGCATTTATTAAAATGGATACAACAATCAGTCTAATAACCATAAAAAATCCAATAATCCCATAATATATCAAACCAGTCTTAAGGGTCAGTTATTTGCCTTTTGTTTAGGATTAAGCTTGTTCTTAAAAATTAAGAGTTCATTCCTATACTTTCTTTGGAATGTCATTTTTAAAGGAGCAACAGAAAATGTATACCTAAACTGAAAGGTAAACAGGAAACCACTTGAGTCTGTTGACCAATAATCAGGAACATGTTTACTATGAAACCATTATGTCTGCTTACTACAGATTCATTGAAAGTCAATAAATTTAAATCTAAATTCAAACTGCAGACAACTTTTCAGTGTTTTGGTTGGTAGGCTATTATTAAAACAATTCTCCAGTTACTCTAATGAAATATAATTGCTAACCAGAAAAACAACAAGTTATTACACATGTGGACACAAGTTGTCGGTTCCCCTCGTTCAATGAAAGAAAAACCTAAAATATTCACAGAAATAACTTGAATTTGATCAAATTAATGCTAAATAAAAAAAAAAAATATTTAAAATGAACAAATGAAAGTAGACATTGCTTTTCAAACAGGATTCAACAAAGGGATTTTAAAACTGAATTTTCTTGAAACAGGCCTGGAGAAAAGACTGAATAAAATCCCTTTATTGTCCCACAATGGGGAAATTCTAGAGTAACAGACCAAAGGGACATGTTAAGTCAATGTGTGTCCACTAATTAGCATATGTCTATAATCTTGTAATCAATCAGGGGGCCATCCAGGGAGAAAAGGAATGTACATCCAATACACAGTTGACTTCTGATTCTATTTATAAAGTCAACGGTATGGATCTTCTGATGTGGTTTTATGACCAAAACATTTAAAAATACCCTGAACTTTTACTGCAAATCCTTTTTTATGCACAGTCTTATCCGTGCAAAGAGCAACCGCTGTTTGGTTGTACAGTCAACTCAGTCCAACAGACGCATAATGGATAAATTGGTTTCACATGAGTGGCTGCACTCACTCACACGGTTTTAGGCAGCCTAATAGGAGTGTTGCCACTGTGCATTAGTCACCTGACCCAAATTTAAAGCTCATTAGGAATAAGCTTTTTTTTCTCATTTATCTTAGTCAACATCTATAATCATGGATTTGATAATAGGTTTGCAGCTTCGTAAACATTAATCCGTTGCATGAATGCATCATGTGTGAAGGCAACAGGAGCAATTCTGCTATTGATGGTTTCTGGTTATTCATAGACATAATCATAGCTTATGTCTGAAATTTAGTCGAGAATAACCATGCTATCACTACATCTTCTGTCAGATATTTATTTGGAATTTTTGGATTTAAAAAAACTTTTTATAGCTAATACTGGGATTTTCTTAGTTTTTTCAAATAATGTTCTATAGACTTTTTTTCTATAGACTATTGTCCAAATGGGAAATCGTTTACCACTGAGCTCCCACCACCAGCAGGAAGTGAAAATACAGTGAAAGAAATCTGAAAAATTGTCAGATCTTTAGCTTCCTGGCTAATATTTTGGGATGTTGTTTTAATATTTCCAAATAATCTCTTCCCCATCAGGATGTGATCCATTCAGTAAATTAATCACCTGTCTACAGCAAAACACTCATATTCAGTGATTACTGATGCAATGGTCCATTGTTGTGGTCTACAATTAGCTATTAAAGTATGATTTTAAATAATACATTAATTTAAATGCCCTCCAGCAATATATAAATAAACACACACGCACACACACACACACAAATATATATATATTGACACTAACAATGTGTGTGTACATGCATTGTTAGTGTCAATGTTGTCAGTGTTGTCGACTTTAAGAATAAGCATCATTTTTAGCAGGAACATCATGGTTGATTCTGCTCTCCATATACTAACATTAGGCGTGTTCTTTGGCCAGCAAACTTCCCTTTTCTCATTGTTTATCCCTCCAAGGGTCATGTCCCCAACGATGCATTTTTGAATGCATCTTCAAAAATTTAATATGGCCTTTTATTTTCCTTGTACACTAATCCCTTGTCCTTTATAAAATGCCTTTTCAACCCCTGTTGATACAGGCCTCGTTGAACTGTGAATAATGCCACAAGATCTTTAGCATTTGTTCTGCTCTTGATCGGCACATATTGCTTCAAAATGAAAATTTCCATGGTGTTTGCATATAATTGTTTGAGCGGAGCTGAATGGTACCTTCAGGAAGCAGGAATTTGGCTGTAATAATTCTCTTCTTAATTTTCCCCAACACACTGTGTTTGAGGTATAAAAAGCATCTACATGTTTGTCCGCAATTAAGTCAAAATGTAATCTCAGAGCCCACATTATCTGGGCTTACTAAAACCATTCCAAGGCCCAGTAATCTAAGTCTATCTAAAATTATGATGTGAAAGTACAAGACCTTTTGAACAAACTCTCTTATTACTGACAACTATAAATAATCTTGGAAACCTGAAACACACCTAAAGTGAGAAACAATGAATCTGCTTTAATGTCAGTCAGTATCTGGTTTCAGGTGTAGGTTGCTTAGACCGTTGTAGCCAGTCCTCCTTCATATTCTCTCTGACGTCTAATCCAGACGTGTGTTAAAAGGCCCGTTTTGAGGGATAGGTAACCATGCCTACTAGCTGGTTCCTCCATTCATCAACCAAGGCACACTTTTCAGAGGACCAATTTTATAAAGTCTGGCATTTTTGAAGCATACAGTAAGAGTTTGCAGTCTCAGGGAAGGTTTGCATTTAAGTAGCTCTGTGTACTTTTCTAGGATGGTCTGTTAGTTTCAGAAACAAGGAGCATCCCTTCTTTCCTGTGTGTAGACATTATGGTGGAATGTGGTGTCACTGGCCATAGGCTTAGTGGTTTTCGGCCCATCCAATGGTCCACGTTTTAGCATGGGTTTCCGTCTCCTCTGCACCGCTTCTCCTCCAAGCTCCTCCCACAAATTCCTCCCCCAACAGCATTCCTCCCCTGCTGTAGACACTGTCGTAAAAATACATACACACACAAAATAAACCTCAACATAGACACACAGAAGGCGTACAGCATTTTCTGTCCAGCTGTCTACGGGCGAGAGGCGAGGTACACCCTGGACAGGTCGCCAGTTCATCGCAGGGCAACACGGAGACAAACAACAATTCATGCACAAACTCACACCTAAGGAGAATTTAGAGAAGCCAATTAACCTGACAGTCATGTTTCTGGACTGTGGGAGGAAGCCAGAGTACCCAGAGAGAACCAACGCTTGCTCAGGGAGAACATGCAAACTCCATGCAGAAAGACTCCGGGCCGGGAATCGAATCCAGAACCTTCTTGCTGCAAGGCAGCAGTGCTACCCACTGCGCCATTACTCTGCACATTTCTCTCTTTTTCGGTCTTTATGTTTGTCATTGGAGCGGGGTGAGGGTTGCGCTGCAAAACCTGTTGTATTAGCGTGTCTGTTCAACCGTCTGAGCCATATAGAACTCAACTGCTGTTCTTTAACCCTTGTGAAGGTCTAGCCTGCCATGAAAATACTTTGTCATGTCAGACAGTAGACTTATTGGCAGTATGAGGCCGCAGATTTGAAGGCACCATATACGTCCCGCTGACAGGACGGGACGCCACAGTTCATAAGTAAACATGGAAACATCGAATGGCCAATAAGGTAGATGTCTCTTTTTTTTAAATTTATGTAATAAAGTAAATATGACTCTGACTCTACAGGCCAGCCAGACCCACCAAACCTCATTTCTATCCTACCAGGATAGGACTCAAAACATTTACATCTGATTTGACTGTTTTAGAGATATCTGTTATTGGTATGACTAACTTAACGTTAATTAAAGTGAAGCCTTCATATGAGCTCAATGATGGTTGCTCTCAAGGTTACTGAAAAGCAGGGTATGTAATCTACCTGTACTCAGCTCTGGGAGGCCTAAGCAGTGAAATATACCTCTCTACTGTGGCTCAGGCACAGGACTTTATCATATTGTCCTTGGCAAGGCTTCAGCAATGTCACCCAGTGGAGGAGAGAGACAGTGGGATATATCAGAGGAAGGTTCAGCTCACTGGGGTCTAACACCAGGTCCCCATGGGAGAGACATGACAGCCTCTTCAGAAAACCTCTGACTCAAGGAGTCTGAATGATAAACCTATAATGGAAATGGAAATGGTTGCAGAAAGAGAGGTGGTCTGTTGGGACCTGGCTGCACTGAGAATGATGAGCTATCTTTGACCCCTGCTGCCACCTCCTTAGTGGTAAAAAACACAGCAGAGATATTTTTCATGTACAGTAAATAGAGTTGGGATTAAGTCTTTAAACCTTACAAAGCGAGAACTTTCTGTTCTGTCTTTATTTGCCTACATGCATATAAACAGGACTATTTTTGAAGCTCATTATTAGCCTTATTTTGCCTTTGGTTAAGCAGACAAACTGTTGCACTAAAGTCTTTAATTATGAACAAGATTTCAATTTGTATGGCTGTATTCAGCTTGGACTCTGTTTTGTTTCCAACAACTAAGCGCAGCGGTGCTGGAGGTCAGTACTTTTTGATGTTGAAATTAAATAAATACCCCAAAAAAGCTTTCATTAAGCAAACACTGGCTCTGATCCAGCAGTAGAACTGATTTAACCTTTTTAAACTGAACCTAACTTCTCACAATGGTTTGTGTGACCACATTTTAATTTATTGAAAAACAAAATCTGAAATGTTGAGATGCATCAACCATACAGTCAGTGTTAAAGGTATAGTGAAAGATTTTGTGAATTTTTGAAAAGACTCTCCCTCTCCACTTAAAAAAAAATACGTATGCACAACCCTGTACCCACTCCTATGATTTAATGGCTATTAAATGAGTGCGAGAGCATGCATCAGCCCATTTCTCATAAAGAAGGTGCTTGGATGAAATAAGACAGTTACTCGGATGGATCTCATCTCACCCATATTTATATATAAAAGATTTCCCTGCAAATAAGACTACTGGTACATAAAAAAAAAAAAAAGACATACTTGTTTGTGTGTGTGTGTGCTGCAGTGGAAATTTGGAAATGTTTGCGGGGTAAATAATGATCTGTGGCCAACTACTAACGATGAAACTTAAAAAATAAATTAACGTATCTCATCCGGAAAGTTACAATATGGAGGAGATAACTTTTAATAGCAGTGATGTGAAATGGATTTCTTCAAAAAGCACGCCAAACTTGACCTGTCGAGTAGAACATTTTCAACCGCTGCATCAGTGGGAAGCCTGACCCGTGATTTCAGTGGACGCCATCATGTAAGGGAATCCCCCAAAAACACTCTGGTCTTGTTTCTGTTTTCTGAGGCCTTTCTCCTCCTCTTATACACTTCGTTGGAGCTTTTTCTCTTATGCCCCTCGGCCATTGTCAAAGCTTCAATGACTGAAACCGTAGCTCACCACAAATATCC